ACCACGCTGCTTGGTGCCATGGCCAGACAAAGACACCGAGGAACACGAGAGAAAACTGGCGAAACATCAAGCCTACAAAGCCAAACAACGGCTTCAAGCTTTTCTACAGTCGCCGCGGGTAAAGACGCTGGTGGCGGCCTTCCGCCGCGCGGCCTTAGACAAGGTCCGCGCGGCTGTCCGCAAAGCGACAGAAGAGCGCGCCGCGATGGTTTCCAGCTTTTTCCAGCTTTTCCCATCGACTCCACCATTGGAAAACATTATGACTTCTAGCTTTTCCAGCTGGGAGCTACCCCGAGGGCTTTTTCGGGGGCTTCCTGGGGCTTCAAAGGGGCCTCTTGGCGCTTCCTGGGGGCTTCTTAGGGCCGAGGGCTCGGGGCTTCTCTTAAAGCGTTCTTGGGGCCCTCTTGGGCCGTCTCGGAACCCTCTTGAGCCGTCTTGGGGCCTTGTCCGAGGCCTCTCGGGCTTTTTAGGGTGATCTTGGCGGCCTCTTGGGCCGTCTTGGGGCGTCGGGGTGGCGAAAAAAGGTAGAGACGCCCAAATCCCCCCCAAACCTATGGAGAAACACCAATGCATGTTGCCTCTTGGGGCCCTCTTGGGAGTGCTCTTGAAAGCCTCGTGGGGCGTCTGGGGGCTACCTCGAGGGCCTTTCGGGGGCTTCCAGGGGCTTCAAAGGAGCCTCTTGGCGCCTCCTGGGGGCTTCATGCTGTTTCGTGTTCCCCCTCTGGGGCTTCCCTTAAAGCGTTCTTGGGGCCCTCTTGGGCCGTCTCGGAACCCTCTTGGGCCGTCTTGGAACCCTCTTGGGCCGTCTTGGGGCCTTGTCGGAGGCCTCTCGGGCATCTTAGGGCGATCTTGGGGGCCTCTTGGGCATTGCGAAAAGGTGGAGACGCCAAAATCTCCCCGAACCTCCAGGACAAAATAATGCATGTTGCCTTGTGGGGTCCTCTTGGGAGTGCTCTTGAAAGCCTCGTGGGGCGTCTGGGGGCTATTTCGAGGGCCTTTCGGGGGCTTCCTGGGGCTTCAAAGGGGCCTCTTGGCGCCTCCTGGGGGCTTCTTTGGGCCGGGGGCTCGAAATGTTGTTTCGTGTTCCCCCTTCTGGGGCTTCGCGTAGAGCGTTCTTGTGGCCTTCTTGGGCCGTCTTGGAGGCCTCTTGGGCCGTCTTGGAACCTTCTTGGGCCGTCTTGGGGCCCTGTCGGAGGCCTCTCGGGCCTCTTGGGCCGTCTTGGGCGTCGCGATGCCGAAAAGGTGGAAACGCTAAAATCTCCCCATAACCCGATGAAACAACTGTGATTTTTGCCTCTTGGGGTCCTCTTGGGAGTGCTCTTGGGGCTCCTTGGCGGCGTCTTGGGGCCCCCCAGGGCCTCTTGGGTTTTTTTGGGGGCCTCTTGAAGCGGGAGGGGGGTAGTCGATTGCGTCTCCACCTTCGGAGGCCACGATCATTGTGAGGGGTGTCGAAAAATGGCCCTCCCTGGAGTGCTCTGGTGGCTCCTCCCGGGACCTTGCCGGGGCACTTGTCGTCCGGGGATTCCCAGAGGCCGCCCCGCGCGCGCGAACTAGAAATATTGTGAACCAGTTGCCGGAGATCTTAGCGCGCCTCTGGCCCGTTGGGCCGCCGAATTCCCAATTCTTCTGTCGATGCACTCCTTGCGTTGCCTTGCAGGGTCAGCGGGCGTGGGTGTCGTGAAGTGCCCAGAAGCGAGGCATGCGCAGTCCATCCTTGGGCACGGATTTTTCACGTGGACCCTGGGCGTCTCGACACTTTTCCCAGGACCAGCTTTTCATCCCGAGCCGTTTCTGTTGACAGCCCCTTGACCCCGCAAGGGCCCAAAGAGCTTGAAATCTACTAGAGACCTCCCGTGTGAATTTTTCACGAGCCACCGGTTGGTTTTCAGCCATACCTTTGGCCGTTGGCGGTCGTTCGGGGCGGTTCGGGCCATTGGCCATGAGGGGCCGTGCTGGCCGGGCGAGCGGCGGCAGGAGGAGAATGCAAAATGCATACGGGGGGACATAAAAAGTGGTCCGGGCCGTTCCTGAACGTTGTCGGCGTAGCTGCTGGGAAGCATCCCGCGTCTGGAAAACTTTTTGGGATCCGAGGAGAATGTCCTCAAACTTCGAACCTCCGGGTGCAGGGAGTGGGGATGGTCGCGGTCACTGCAGAAGGGGAACAAGTCGCAGGCAGAGAAACACGCACCAACCACGACGACGCCGACGACGAACGGAGAACAAACACACGAATGATCCGCACCGAAGAACGGATTCGAGAAAGGGCTCACCCTGCACAGCACATCGATGAGCGGTGCTATGGCAACTGTGGTCGGTGCTGCGGCCCACGCGCTGTTTCCCTGCTGTCTCGCTTCGATCCTGTCGGCCTTTTTGGGCAGGGGCCCTGAGCGCACGGCCGCGCTGAGGATCATCGACTATGGGATTGTTTAGGAGGAGAAAAAACACACACAGACCCAAGTAATCGTCGACTCGTAGAAAATATGGGAAAATATGGGCAGTGGGGGGAAGACAGAAACACAGGAAATATGGGAAAATATAGGGAATCGTTTTATTTGTGTGTCCCAGGGCCCCTTCAATTATGGAGTGTCGGGGACTTGAGGCTTCGAGGATGGAGGGTTCGAGGACACGAGGCTTCGAGGACGCGAGGCTCGACTGCTCGAGGCTGCGAGCATTCGAGGGTTGGAGCCTCGAAGACTCGTGCATCAGCAGGCGGAGTTGGGGGAGAGCAGCGGGTTTGAGGAGGAGGAGGAGAATCCATGGTGGAGCTGCCTTTGTTGTGTCGACTGTCTGCGTCCATGGGCGGACTTCCAGAGTCTTTTGGACACTTCACGTCCCGCGACGCACCTCGCCGTCGTCGTCGTCGTCGTCGTCGTCGTTGTCGCAGTCTCCCATGGCTCGTGTCTCCTCGCTCCTGCTCCGTTCCTTCCTATATGTCGCCGCGCCGTTTGTTCGACATCTTGGGTAATTAGGGCGCCTCGTGCACCAGGGCAAACGCCGCCTCGGGCACAGGAGGCTTGCCGTGGGGTTTGCCATGTGGCGGCGTCGTCTTCTTGGGGCGCAGGACGGAGGGTTTGCCGTGGGTTTTGCCGCGGTGTCGGCGCCGTCCACTTGGGTGCGCTGGGAACAAGCCGCGCGGCGACAGATCTTCTGTCTTCACTCTCCTCCCGTCTTCCTCATCCACCCCTCTCTTCTGCCTGCAGTCGAGACGCTGAAATGAGGACTACCTTGGGCTCAGGAGTGGATCGGCCTTTCGGGCCGCTCCCTGGAATCATGTCCTGGCTTGTGGCTGGTGGCCTGGGCTCGCCGTGGCCTGAAAGCCCCTCCGTTCCCTGTTGTGCGTGCCTGCTGGTGACACGATGGCTGTACTCCCTCCCTCCCTCCCTCCCTCCTCCTGCGGACCCAGACGTCCGACGATGCCCGGCTTCTGCTAGGGGGCCACATGCGAACCCCTACCCCTACCCCCCTCAGAAATCTTGGGGGGTAGGGGTAGGGCTCGCCGTGGCCTGAAAGCCCTTCCGTTCCCTGCTGTCAAGGGCATAAAAAAGGCCCCTACCCTGGTTTACGAGGCGCTGTGCGCTGAAACTCCTGTGGGCTGATGTTGTGCGTGCCTGCTGGTGACACGATGACTGTACTCCCTCCCTCCCTCCCTCCTGCGGACTCAGACGTCCGACGCTGCCCAGCCTCTCCCCCGCTCCGCGGCCCCAGGCCCCCCCCGCGGCCCCGCGGCACTCTCTCTCCTCCTTCGGCTCCTGCTGGGCTCCCACGGGCCCCAGGGACCGGCCCCCGCCGAGTGTGCGGAGCCGCAGGGAGCAATCCTCGGAAGCCTTGAGACGGGGGTCAATGCAAACGGGGGTCAGCCAGAGCGCCAGATCTTGCAGGATCCTGCGAAGATCCCCACTGGCTGACCCGGGTTAGCGAGCCGCTCGTGGCCGCGAGGCGGCCGCGCATATTGGCTCACCCGGGCTTGCGAAGACCGGGTACGGAAAGAATGGGTACAAAGGCCAACAGCAGTTCTTGTTCATTTTGAACAGGACTCGCTGTCGGCGTCGCCGCGGATCGTGTCCATTCGAGGCAGAAGGCCGCTTGTCAAACAGCGGCCGCTGGTGGTTCGGGACAACGTTTGCTGTTGGGCATTGTGCCCACTGCTTCCGTGCCCATTTCGGGCGTCCAAAAATCCCTCGGAGGTCTGCCAGACCTCCGGAGGGTGGTTCCCGCGTGACCCAGGGGACCCCCCACCTCCAGAGGAGAGGGGCCCCAGGGGACCCCCTCTCCTCTCCTCCCTCCGCCTTCGCCCCTCGAGCGGCGGCCCCGGTCCGCGGGCTCGAGACCGCGGAGGATCCTCCGAGTCGGGCCCAGGCTGGCGCACGTTGTAGCGGAGTCGGCCCGCCCTCCGCTGCGGACCCGGGCGTCGGGAGGCTCGCTCGTATTCACCGCCTGGGGTCCGGGGGCCCAGGGGTCCAGGCCGTCCAGTGGGGTGGGTGGATCGCGCTGCATCGTCGATGCATCGGGGATGTGGCTCGACATGGAGCCCTGTGTTCTGTTCGCCGACTTCGCCGATGCATCAGTGACACATCGGCGATGCTGCGCGATCCTCCGACCCCATGTTCTTCGACACGATTACGGTGGTTTTGGATGTGAATCGAAGCTTCAAGTAGTGTGAGCTATTCCCAAGACCTCCCGACCCCTTCCCGGGGCCCAGTTTTTCAGAACATTTATCGTGGCACCGTGTGGTGGTCGACCAGGCGTCGAAGCGGCCCCCAGAAAGGCCCAACTTGAGGAAGACACTCCAGCATTGAGAACATCAGGGCTTCGGAGGTCTCCTCAAATATCGACCCCCACCTCTTTGCTGTCCTGGGGTGCGTGTTGGCTGGGATTTGCAGGTGAATCCGGCCAGAGGAGAGGCCTCCCTGAAGACCCAAGAGGGGCTACCACAGCCAGAACCGCCAGGATTGAAGACCAAGCCAGTCCGCCAGACGTCTGGGGCACGGAGCTCCCCGCCAATGGCCGCGGAGATGGCCTTCGCCGCGGGCGTCGCTCCGCAGGCGCCGGGTCCACGCAAGAGCGACCCTTCGCGCGAGTGACCGCCGATGCGTGGCCTTCGCGGGGCGCGAGGAGGAGTGGCACGCCCAAGCGTGCAGGCCGCTACTGTCGCGCATCGCGTGCAACGGCCAGAAAGCCTTCACCAAAGGCCACTGTTCATTTCAGTCGGTTCTAACTGTCTAACTCGTAGGCGTCCTGTCTTTCGCGTCTCACGTGCTCTTCATGCCTCGGGACAGGGTTGCCTTCGAAGGAGACTCGTTCCCTCTCGCGTGCCCTCTGCTGTCAGTCACGACAGTGGGCTGCCCAGGGGCACTCCAGGGCTCGAGCTAAACCGTGTTTTGGCGATTTCGTGGACCGTTCTCGTTTTGATTTTGTCTCGCAGCAAGTGCAGAATGACAACAGAACGAAGAAAAGCGAGGACAAAGCGAAAACAAAGTCTCTGTTCAGCTCGAGCCCTGGTCACTCTCAGATCTGGCGTCTTGCCTTTTTCCAGCTTGGGGCCCCCGCACGCCCCGATCCGCTCTCCTCCCCTGACCAGTTCTTGGACCGCCCCCGGGAGCCCGGAAACAGCACCCGGCAGGCAAAAGCGGAAAGAAGCCAGCGTCTCATTCTAGGTCATTTCCAAGGGGCGTGGGCACAATCCTGTTTCGCGCGTGGCGTCCTGCACAGGCGAGCTGCCCTTCTCAAGGGTGGCGCCGCGAGGGGGCAAAAGAACCGCACGTCGCGCATCGTGGGGCGCTACGCTCGAAGATCACCGAGGTCACCATCGGCAGCCCCAGACGCTGTCTTGTTTTTGTCACTCCCCCCTTCGAGACGCCGGGAGGTCTGGGCCCTGCGTGTGGCCCACGACCGGGCCTCCCAGTTGGTGTCCGAGCAGGGGGGGCCTCGGAGGATGGCGCCGTACCGCCGATGCCTCGCCGATGCGGCGCTCGATGCTCTCCACGCCGACGGCGCCGACGCATCGGCGACGCATATCGGCGACGCATCGACGATGCGGCGCGATCTTCGGACCCCGGCTTCTCGGACCCCGTCTGGGAGGCCTCCACCGCAGGCGGCGGCGCCGGTGGCCGCGCCCCTGCTGCGCGGCGCAGAGCCAGGCGCCGCACGCCCGTCGGCGGCCGCCGCCGGGGCGCCCCTCGCGTGGGCGGCCGCCGCGGCCGCCGTGGGCGGCACCGCGGCCACGGCTGCCGGCCGCGGCCGCACCAGGCCCGGCCAGGGCGGAGGGGCGGGGGCCGAGCCTCGAACGTTGGGAGGAGGAGGAGGAGGAGGAGGAGGAGGAGGAGGAGGAGGAGGAGGAGGAGGAGGAGGAGGAGGAGGAGGAGGAGGAGGAGGAGCAAGACCACCACCCATCCTGGGCCACAGCCGTTCCAGGCCCTGGGCTGGCGCACAAGACCCTCCGGGCCGATGCCAGCAGGCTACACTCACCGCCCCTGGGGCCCAGGAAGGCCCCGGCCTGGCACGGGGTCCCAGCAGAGGGGGGTCGGAGGAGCCGCGTCGGTGATGCCTCGCCGAGGCGGCGCTGCGTGGCGCCCGATTGGAGCCGCGCAGAGGTCGCCGATGTACTGCCACTGTCGCCCATGCATCGGCAGCGCGGCGCGATCCTCTCCGACCCCATCTGCTCGGACCCCGCCCGGGAAGCCTTTCGGGATCGAGTCCCGGGTCTTGAGGTCGATGTTGTTGGGGCCTGGGGGGAATCGGAGAGGGATGGGGGCCTTCCTCCCTCCTCGCCTCCCCCGTCCGCCCGACGACGTGTATAGGTGCGTACAGCAGCGACCCTGGCACCGCTCCTCTTGGACCCGCGCTGCTGTCCAGGCATTGCACAACTGTTTTGCCTGCAGCTTGTCCGAGTGGCTGCCGGCCCCGCTCGCCCGTCGAGCGATCGTTTGCAGGTCAGACTGCAGCCAAGGGGCGCTGCCTCTGCGCGGCGTCGCCTACCGCACAGGGATGTACTATGGGTAGCGTCGTCGACGTGAAATCCGTCCGACGACGCTGCCCCTGAGGCTCTTCATGGGGTGTCCGCGGTCCGATCGGGTCGGCTGCTCCATGCCTCCATTCCCTCCTGGCCTGCACGGCGGCCATTCGGTTTCGGTCTCGTTTTCGGTTCCGCTGTCGGCTCGGTCGGCGTTCGACTGCGCTGTCGCCGTAGGCGGACGGCTGCCTAGACCCCGAGGCTTTCGCCAGGGTCAGCTCCTCATCCTGAGTCGTCAGTTTAGAGTCCCAGGGTTGGTGTCCTGGCACGATTCAAGACCGTCAAGACGCAGCAGTCAGGTTAACTCGAGGCGCTGGAATCCTGAAAATGGTGTTTCCGCGCGCTACAGGATTTTCGCACGGTTTTCCCCAACGGGGCAATCCCTCAGTGGAAATGAACCCTTGTAGGTGCCTGTGAAGAGGGAGCTTGGGGCGAGCGCGCATTCCAACATCGTTGATGGATCTTCATGGGGTGTCCGCGGTCCGCTCGGGTCGGCTGCTCCATGCCTCATGCCCTCCTGGCCTGCATGGCGGCCGTTCGGTTTCGGTCTCGTTTTCGGTTCCGCTGTCGGCTGGGTCGGCGTTCGACTGCGCTGTCGCCGTTGGCGGACGGCTGCCTAGACCCCGAGGCTTTCGCAAGGGTCAGCTCCTCATCCTCAGTCGTCATTTCAGGCATTCCAAAACTCGCCTTCGATGAAGTTGTCATCTCTTTCCCGGCGGAAGGCCGCGGAAGGTCGGCGGAAGTCGGCGGAAGTAAAACGGCGGCGGTTCCGCCAGCGGAAGCTCGGCGGCAGCTTGCGGACGTAAATGTCGACCTCCCTTACGGTTTGACAGTATTTTTGGGTTCAGGGTCTCGGGAACCCGCCATCTGGCGGCACCAGGGATGGCCCCCAGCGGCCGAAGTTGGAGAGGAAGTACCAGTGCCCGTCTCCTCCAGGGCCGGCTTCCTCCGTTCTGGCTTTGTTGCTGTTCTCTGTCGTGTGCCCTTGTGGTTGGCGCTTTCCAGGCTCTCAGGGAAAGCAGCGGGCCTCCTGGGGGCGCCTTCGTGGCCACGGCCGGATCCGCTTGGAAATCATGCGAACGCGCCCCGAGACGGGCATGGGGGCCGATTTGAATCCCCCCAAAGCGGGCCCAACACAGGCCTCCCCACTCGAGAGACCGAGGGCGCATCGTCATGAGTTCGCTTTCCGGGAGGCCGCTTTGGGGCCCATGGGCAGCCAGAAGAAGGCAGTCGTGGGTTGGAAAAGGCCGACCCCTTGGAAGGGGCCCAGAGTTTGGGGGCCCGCGCGCCGCGACAGGAACACGTCTGAGCCGACCCACGGCGCAGGGCGTCGCAGTCGGACCGACCAGCAGCAGAAGATGCCAGGGGAGGGCGGCCGCGCCAGGCGCGCCAGGCGCACGGCGCGTGCCGCGGACTTCATGAAGGTGGCCGCCCCCAAGCCGTCGCTCAACCCCGATCAGTTCAGCGACGTGTGCGAGCAGACGGGCGTCACGCTGTCGCGGCACGCCCGGCACAGTCGACCTCGATAGGAAGGAGGATCGACTTCCCAGGGGTGCCCATTGCATCCCTGCCTCTTCGCTCATCTCCGGTCCATCCTCAACGGCTTTCGGCACGGGCGCCCAAGGCCCCTGCATCCTTACCGGTAGCCCACACGTGGCTTTTCGGAGGTGCCTCTCGCCCCCCGCGGCCCTCACCTTGTTTGGTGGAGGCCCGCGGAAGTTGTAGATTCGCGGCCAGTCCGCTGGCGGAGGGTCGGCCGAAAGCGGCGGATGCCACGGCGGTCGCCGCAGGGGAAAACGGTCCCTGAGCGAAGCGGGCCGTGAGGTTTGTCGCCGCCTTCGGGCTCTCCCGGGGCCCTCCGCGGGCCCCAGGGCCGTCCGGAAACGGCGCAGGACGGAGGAGGAGGAGGAGGAAGAGGAGGAAGCGGAGGAGGAAGGAGGAGGAGGAGGAGGAGGAGGAGGGTGGAGGGAGGCCCCGTCCTGGGGGAAGGCCCGGGGTCCGGGACCCGTTGCCCTCGGGATCCGTGTCCCCCCCAGGCTAAGAAACCGACAGCGAGGCGTCCGCACCTTTGGCTTCGGGGCTTCGAAGGATTGCAACAAAAACCCAACGAAGGGTTGCAAAACACCTCGGATTGCAACAAAAACCTCGGATTGGGTTTTTTTTGCAAAGCCTCGGCCCCCCACCGGGTGGGGCAGGAGGAGGAAGCGGGGGGCCCTCGCGCCGCATATCGCCCGATGCATCGGCGATGCGGCGCGATCCGGAGCTCGCTTTTCTCCGTCGGAGTGTCGCCGGTGCATCGGCGATGCGGCGCGGTCCTCCGACGCCACCTGCTCTGGCCCCACATATCGGGGGCTTCCAGGTACATGATCGAGCTGAGCAAGCGCGGCGTGGTGGACGCAGACCTCAATTCCATCATGTCATCGATCTCCGAGGGCACCAAGGTCATCGCCTCCCTGATCGCGAAGGCGCCCCTGCGCCAGGCCGATCTGCTCGGGCTCGAGGGAGAAGTGAACGTCCAGGGCGAGGACCAGAAGAAGCTCGACGTCATCACGAATGAGGTCCTGAAGAACGCCCTGAGGTACACGGGGAAGCTCGGCACTTTGGCCTCAGAGGAGGAGGACAATCCTGTCGCGGTTGACGACGACTTGAACGATGAGTTCAACACCAAGGTCGTCGGAGAGACCGGCTCGTATGTGTGCGTCTTCGATCCCCTGGACGGGAGCAGCAACGTGGACGCGGGCATCCCCGTGGGCACGATCTTCGGCATCTTCAAGGAGCCGGAAGGCGGCGAGTGCGACCTCAATCTCGACGGTGGCGAGGTATCCGAGGATTGCGTCCGTCTGCCTTCTGCCTTTTGTCGGAGAAGAAAAACGCCATAAACATAAGTTTTTGGCGCTCCGCGCGGGCTTCCTTGAATCCGCGCTGGATCCCCCCGGCGGCGCCTCCGGCGTCGCCCCGGGCGCGCTCCGTGCGCCAGGGAGGGGGGTCCAGCGCAGATCCAAGAAATCTGCGCGGAGCGGCAACAGTTTATGTCTACGGCGTTTTTTTCTTTTCCTACTCTGCCTTGCGTTTAGCCGTCTGTTTCGTGTTTTTGCTGACTGGTCAGCGAGGTGCGGGGGCACGCAGTGGAACAAAGGGGGGATGGGGCAGCCGTTGAATTAAAGATCGGGATCTGCCTGAGCAGGCCCTCTCTTCAGTTTACCCGGGCGGCCATTTAGGGGCCCGCCGCAGAGGCCATTTTGGAGGCATTTGGGGTCTTGCTGGGAGCGCATTGGGGCACTCGTCAGGGCCCTTGTGGCCATCTTTGAGGACATCGATTAAAGGAGGGGGGGGTCCTTACATAGTGTTGCCCCTATGGATCCCAGGGAGTCGTGTATTTGGGCTCTTTTGGGGCGCTCTAGGGGCGGTCCTGGGCGCTCTTCGGGCCGTCTTCGGCGGGCCAAATTGGGCCCCCTTTGGGACTCTTTTGAGCCCTCTTGGGGCTATCTTGAGGACTCACGAGCCCATTGGAAGCTATAGAAGAAAGGTTAAGATGATTCCGTTAGATCAGAGGGGGATTACACAAGGATGTCTCCCGAGATTCCGAAACCTTTGAACAACCAGTGGTTGTCCAATAGTCTTGGTGTTGAGCGCAAGAGGTGGTCAGGAATGTGCACTTCCCATCTTTAGTCCCAAACTTAGCCTGTTGGGGCCCTCTTGGGCTGCTCTTGGAGCGCCGTCTTGGGCCCTCTTGGGCCCGTCTCTGGCCCCTCTCGGGGCTCTCTTGCTTTTTTTGGACATCATGAGACCTCCAGGGCCTATCGGATGTCAGGCGGCGAGATGGCAACACTTGTTGATTCCCTTCAGGTTTGAACCGGGTTTGGCCTGTCGGGTGCATTATCGGGAGCCTCCGTGGCCAGTTGCGGCCGTATAGGGGGCTTTCTGGAGGCATATGTGAGGCCGCGTCCAACGCCACAGCAACTAGCAAACCGATATCAATTGGATGCCATCCAAAGCAGCCTCGGATGAAGTAGGCCGTCTTGGATGCCATCCTGGGATGTCGGATGCCCTCTCGGAGCCATCGTGGGCCATCTTCGACGCTCTGGCCGCTTGCGGGGCGCCCTGTCCAAGCCTGGGAGGGGGGGGCTGGGTCACGGGGGGGAGTCACGCTTTCAGCCGCGAGGGGGGTATAAGGGGGAAGGATGCGCTGCAAGCTGTCTCGAGCACTCCCACCCGCCCTCCCAGCACACCAGCAGCACCCGGGCATCGTCATAGATCCAGCGGCCGTCAGCGACAGCCATCAGAGCCACTGCAAACGCCAGCCACGTGCGCGACGCCCGCGAGGTGCGCCGCACATGCCAGGTGCGCCACGCGCACCAGGCGCGTCACATTGGGCAATATGTCGGCCCCTACCATCCCGTTCCAAAACCAATGCAACGTGACGGCGAGTTTGCCAGCATTGTGTGATGTCTGTGGGCGCGCACCAGCAAGTTACTCGCGCTTGTTGTTGACAGGGATGGTGGACCTGCGCGCAGCAGCAGTTTGTATCTCCCCCTTCTGTCCCTGGCAAAGTGTGCTTTGTTTTCCTTGACAGGGGTGGCGGGCCTACACACAGCAGGACATATGCCGCCCCCCCGCCGTCCCTGTGAAACGCAATTGAACGTGATCGTGGGGCGCCCGCGCATGATCCGCATTTTCGCGCAACGTGGACTTCGCATTTTTTTGTTGGGGACGGCGGGGGGGCGTCGACATTGTATAGAGTAAGTAATCTGCCGGCCCCGCCGCCGTCCTTGTCGCGGGGCGCCCGCGCATGATCCAGATTTTGGTGCAACGTGCATGGCGCATTGCTGTTTGCAAGAGATGGTACGGGGGGGTAGCATTGTGCACAGCAGGCTAAATGCTGTCACCCCCCGCCGACATTGCCAGCAAGCATTGCGAAGTGATCCTGGGGCGGCCGCGCATGATCTAGGCTTGGGTGCAAAGTGCATATTGTACTGTTTTATGTTGCAAGGGATGGGAGTGTGTGCGGGTGCGTGTCGGCATTGGCGTGGGTTTCTCGCCAGTCGAGTGGGGGAGTGGTGGATAATTGTTCATAGGGAGCAGCGGTCAAACACTCCCCGGAGGGGAAGACGGGGGTTGGACGAGGAAGCGCCGCAGACCGCCTCCCCCCAGAGTCATGGTGAGGTTAGTTGGGTAGATTCGGGCACTGATGCGTGGTCGCGCGGGGGCAGCTAGAGGGGCGCACCGACGACAACGTGCCGTTTCGAATGATCCGGCAGTCGTTCGCCCACCTCCGCTGTCTGAAGCACCCAGTGCCTGATCGATGATCGCTGAGTCCATCCCAGTTCGCCTGCCTAGCGTCTCTCGAGTCATGTTCTGCGACGCCTGCAGGGTCGAACTAATAAGTGAGGTTGGGCACAGATTTCGCTACATCTCGATGTTCGCAATCCGATTTACCGCGGTGTATGAGCAAAGAAGTGAGCAAATTGTGCCCGAACAGGCCGACCAGGCCTGCCTAGCGGCGACGCTGCAGCCCGGCAACAACCTCGTCGCTGCGGGGTACTCGGCGGCACGCACAGCGGGGTTGTGCGAGGAGTTGGCATCCTATACGGGAAGACATGGGGCCGATCGAGCATCGATGATGTTTTAGCGCCATGGTAGGCTCAGGGTTTAGTTATTAACCTTCTAATATGCGTCCGGGCCCTTCTGATAAGTCCCTGCCTTTTGATAATCGGGGACTGATGGATACCCCCCACCATGCAAAGTCGATTGGCGAATCCACTCATGGGGCCCCATTTTGCTTTCTCGAGAGGGTGTCGCAGCAACCGTTTTTGCGGGCTGGCGCCCGCGGGGCTTGGTACCCAGGGCGTCCTCATCAGAGGGTGCTCTGCTAAATGCATCCATGTTCGGCGGCGAGCCCGGGGGGAAGAGATCAGGGGCGGGCTTTCTCAGAAGGCTCGGAAGCCCCCCAGCCTTCTGAGAAGTGTTCTAGGCCTTCCCCGAACTCACAGGAAACCCTTCAGAAGGCCCGAAGGCTTCTGAGAAGCCCCGCCGCCTTTGCGAAGGCCTTCTCCTTCTCACTTCTCCCCCTCGCTCGCCGCCGAATCTGGTCTTTGGGTCATACCTCGGGTCTCCGGCGGCCGTTCGGGACAGTCCAGGCACTCCCGGAATGCCCTTGGCGAGGCGCAGCTCCTGGCAAGAACCGCCGAGAACCGACGAAAACGTCCGAAGACCTGCAACCTCGAACCCTCGCTCGCCGCCGAATGCTCCCCCTCGCTCGCCGCCGAGCTGTCCCCCCCCGGTAGAATGCCGCTCTCTTTTCCCCCCCCCTCGTGCGCACCGCCGAGGTACGTTTTCTATTCTGCCTCCACGGAATTCGTCGTGACGTTTGGCAACGGTGCCCGGGCAGCGGAGAGGAGGGTCTGGCACGAGGGATGCTGTTGGAAAACGCATGACAATGATGGGAACAACGTGCTTTGCATCTTCGGGGGACCTCGTCTGTTCCCCTTCTCTTGTGCCTGACGTGGGCTCGGTGCGGACTTCGCGCGGAGTGGGCGAAATTTGAAACGGATTCGACACGGATCCGACGCAGACGGAACGCGACGAGACAGAGAAGGCCCCCCGAAGATGCAACATAAGAACAATGCCAATGTGAGGAACGATTTTTTTTTTGCCCCGCTGGGTAAAACTCAAACTTGTTTGTCTATGGAGGAAGCTGGCGGCCTCCTTTTCAGCTTCAAGGTCAAGCTCTGGAGCAAACGGCTCCTGGGCCTGTCCCTGCATCCCCTGGAGGGGCTCCTGAGCAGGTCGCTGCTGCTCTGGAGCCCTCAAAACATGATCCTGAAAACCAGCCGCCTCCTCTCGTGCTGCTATCCGCAGCCAGGAGGAAGGATGGAGAAGTTTCAAGGTTCGTTGTTTGAGAATGGATCTGGGTCCTGATCTTGAGAGAGACCAGCCCCCCCGACACCCCCCAGGATGAGTTCTACATTTTATTGGGAATGCTTTCGGGTCGGGCGAAAGGGGGGGGTTTGGGAAAGGGGGGGTTACGAAAATCTGCTGCATGCAGCTGGTTTCGGCCCCACCGAGGGGCCCGTTCCTCGATACATGGGCGCCTCCCGGCGCCGGGAGGCGCCGGGAAAATCAGCTACATGAGCTGATTCTCAAACCCCCCCTTTGCTATGCCCCCCTTTCGCCCGGCCCGATGCTTGTGGACTTAGTCGACACGCCCCCACGGTGACGAATGCAAATCGGGACGTTTCCGGTTTTGGTTTTACAGATCGTTGTATACTCTCATGGAGAAGCTATTGCGTGTTTTATAGACGCGTTTCTGCGTTTATAGAATTGCGCCGTTGCACGTGCGCGATGGCGCGATTGACACAATGTCCTAGGCCATTTCGTGCGCGGCTGTTTTTTTTAGAAGTCCTGGGTGTTTATGAAACATGGTTTTTGGTTTTATGATCCTGTTTTGTTCCCGGCCCTCGCCGGTTGCATTTTTCGGAAGCTTCCAGGGGGCTCTTTTTGGGCACATGCAGCGGACGACGGTCGTCGGGACACAGGCGCTAGAGAGAAGCTTTGAACATATATAATGGAATGTGGTAGGTGTGTGGGTGGCTTAGGTCGCCTTCATGATCACCCCCCCTCGGGAAGAGTTGATGCCTCCACGGGGGTCCTCCAGACTCTTTGGAGACCTCTCGCGAGACTCCCGGGGCCAGGCTTTCAAGAACTTCCAATCACCTCTGGGCACCCCCGATGGAAGCCGCCCTCTCTCATCATGTCCAGTCTCTGTCTCTCTCTCTCTCTTTTGTTTGATTGTTCGCTCTCTCTCTCTCTTTCCCCCCTTCTTTCCGTCTTCATATCTTCCCCTTTTTTTTCTCTCTCTTTCTCTCTCTCTCTCTCTCTGCGTCCCCTCGTCATAATCCAGGGTTGGAAGGGCTGAGCTGACTGCGAAACCGCAACTCGTGGGTTAGCATCCAGATGCTTGCAGCACGTCCCCCATCGCACCAGCCAAGCAATCTATGTGTCGACCCTTAGATCACCACCCAGAAGTCGGTCGCA